CATCCAATCTGATATGTCAGTCAGTAGGCAGGTGATTCAGGCGGAGACTGAAGCGGTGAAGCGAGGGGTAGAGAGGTAGATTTGCATGTCATCAGCGTAGAGGTGGTAGTTGAAGCCGTGGGAGTGTATCAGTTGGCCAAGAGAGGAGGTGTAGATGGAGAAGAGAAGGGGCCCGAGGAAAGAGCCTTGGGAGAGCCCAACAGAGAGGGGGAGAGAGGGAGAGGTGGCAGCGTTATAGGTAACACTGAAGGACCGCTGGGATAGATAGGAGGAGAGCCAGGAGAGAGCTGAGTCTTTGATGCCAAGGGAGTATAGTTTTTTAAGGAGGAGGGGTGGTCAACTGTGTTGAAGGCCGCGGAGAGGTCGAGGAGTAGGAGGACCGAGTAGTGGCCACTAGCTTTGGCGGAACAGACTTTTCTACTCTTCTGCTTTCAGAAAGAAAATGATCAATAAGACATTGAACACGTTTTGCTTTAATGGAATATTTTTGGCTGATTAAAACTAAAGGTTCACCTGGGCTTTGACCATACTTCAGTACATTGGTAAGTTGCAGCAACAAGTCCCCATGCTATAGAATGCAAGAAGATCTTCACCATTCATTGGCAGTCTATGACCCAATTTATTCAAACAATATGGCATCTTGTGAATCACTATTCTTCAGTCAACTTTATTACTGAATTTACTGAAAAGTGTCAAGAAATGTCCAGACAAGTGCTGCCCTTGTATCAGGAACTTGTAGGAGCAATAGAGGTAGTAGATGCTTATCCTGGGTGACGCTTGAACAAAGATGGCTCCATCCTTTTGGGGGGAGAAGCAAATGAAGTATTGTGACCTGCAATAAATACCTGTAAGTGTCACTCTCACATATGATTTAACAATTGCTGCACTTAAAGTGACTTTGTCCTGTGAAAAGTATAGGGGTTGCCATTGCTGGCCCTCTTTTTAAGACAGTAGTTCCCTGGCTGTGTTTGGGTCACAGAGCTAGAACAAACATGCTGTAAATAGGTGTTTAGTGTTCAAATTTTAAAGTGTTCCTAAAATTCTACTAAAACATGCTATACTCACTGTGGAACCTAAGGGGTTAATCCTCTGCACTGTGTAAATAAGCTGTTTGATCCTGTCTTCTCTGATCCTCTCCTTCTTCTATTGTCACAGAGCTCTAGGCATCACTCAACACATGCTCAGTTTAGTGTGTATGTCTAGAGAGTTTTTTTTTCATTTGAGAGAGTGCATGTGATCGGCCCAGGGCCAATCAGCACTGTCCAGACAGAGGGTCACAGGTTATGCAGCCCCATAGGACAGTGAGAGGAGAATGAAAATACCTCCTACAAGCTTTAACCAGTGCTCAGCTGGATACTGATAGAAGTCACAAGACTGCTATATACTGCTGATGAGAAAAGATATTTAGCAGTTTATATTTACTAAAATGATTGCTTTTCCACGTTGTGTGTACTGTGGGAGACCAGATATAGTGAATGCAGGGTCTGGGGTTTAGTAACAATTTAACTGAGAACACCAGAAAACACTGAGCCAGGAAACGTACAATCCAGCAACAGCTGCCGCCATACTTTTCTCATTAATAGGGACACTTTAACTTGAGAAGTATATCTGATGCAAAGTCTGATGAAAGAATATGTTTAGCACTGAGATGGTGAATAGATCCTATGAAGAGGTCTTAATGAATCGTCTTTCTTTCTGACAACAGAGACTGTCTGAAAGCTTTACCAGTCTGATGGGAAATCTTTGCCTCTTCACCAGCAAAATTTGTCTTTACACCCCCAACACCTACAGATGTCAGATGCATGCAGCAATAGGTTAGGCTGCGTTCATGCTTCCTTATCACAGAGCTCCTCCCTCTCAAACCCCACCCCCTAAGGGCCATTAGGAAAAATCCAGAGAATTGAGTAGTGCTCCTGAACACTAAGAGGATCCACAAGTGGTATTAAACCCAAAACAAAAAAAAATGTAATATATTGCAGCTTACCAATCGTGATGTTGTGGCTGCATTCATATTCTTTTTTTTAGACTTTTTTCCCTCTGTTTTTACCTGGTGATCTGACCAGTAACACACCTCTTGTATTAAATTGCCCATACTCTAGATAAAAGAGCACAGGGGGCACAGCAGGCAACAGCATTGTCAGTCTGAGGGGAGTGTTAGATGGACTAGCAGATTAAGATACACCAATACATTGAAGCCGAGTGCCAGTTGATACTTTGTACTCAGTTACAGCAAACCGCTTTTATTCTTTTGGGATAAAGGTTTTACATGAAGAAAACATGGCCCCTTACCCGGAACTGCAAAATCATGTATATATACATGATTTTGCGCAGCCCTGCCGCCCTGTAGTAGTATTTCTGCTATAGGACAGCAGGCAAGCAGTTAAATAATAATTTCACTTTTCATTCCATATTACCTGTTACACCCATATTCAGGGTGTAACATGTAACCTGTTACGAAAAGATAAGCCCCTGATCCCTTCAATTCCCTGTGTTGACAGCTAGCGGGGGATCTTTTTTTTTTAAAACGCAGCCCTACGGGGCTCCGGCCACCCAGACATTTCGCTCACTCAGAATGTTCTGTGAGAGGGAAACTACTTTGCGGCTGTATACACTGACAGATCTGCAGGAGTCCTGCATGGCACCAGTGATCTGATGATCGCTGGTGCAATGCTTTCCAGGCTCCCAAAACAAAAAATAGTAAATGCACATTTTTTTACCTGCAAAAAAAATGTGCATTTATTATTTTTGGTTAAAAGGTGAATTTATCCTTTAAATATAATAAACATGGCACACTCTGGGTATTCTCACCTAACTGTTCCTATATGTTTGTGGCAGCAGATGCCAACAGTATGATCTAGGGTAGCCTGTTTCAACCAAGGTGCCTTGGTTCCCCGGGGTGCCTTCTGGGGTCTTCAGGGGTACCTTGGCAAAATGCCTAAAAATCTCCCCAAATTGGCCAAAAATTGTTAACAAGCCAGTGGATGGATCAAATCTGCCTTTTTATTACACAAAGCAGGTTTTTATTGTGTAGCATTGCAAACTATGCAGGCCAACAGCTGGCATCCTCACAGCTTGTGAGGTCATTGGTTGTAAGGAGGATGTCAGGCACCGAATCCTTGTGTGCCCCTTCCCTACCCCACGTCATCAGCTCTGGGGTCACGTTAGATGAATGAGGGAGAGAAACTGGAATACTAGTCAGTATGCAATTGTAAGTGTATATTGCTTTGTTAAAATCACATGTAATGTTGGGTATCCTATGTGTGTGGATAATGCTGTAACATGTAATACTATTAGTTTCATTTATTACATTTTTGAATGGGGTGCTTCAAGATATAATAATTACATTTATTATTACATTTGCATAATTTTAAAAGGTACTTTGACTGTAAAAAAGGTTGAGCATCACTGATCTCGGGAGCCAAAGGTTCAGTTATGCTCCTTGTTCATATGCCAAGCTTCCCCCTAGTGGGTATACATGATATTAAACACAGCCATAGGCAGTGTGAGTTTCTTTCCTGAAACCACAGGTTGATTTCCCCATCAACACATATAGTGCTGATGGGGGAATCCCTCCTGCTGAACCATTGTGTTCTCCTGGCGGGGGGGGGCTGTTCCTGCCAGAAGAACATAGTGATTATTGCTAGTGGCTATAACAGCTGCTAGCAATATTCACATGTATAATCGATCAACTTGGGTACATTCAGCCTGCCCATACATGGTTCGAATCTCGGCCAGTTCCTGCTGAACCATCCGGGAACTGAACCATCTATGGCTGGTTTTGTACAAAGACATCACAAACAGTTTTCTACAAAGACTATTCAATATATCAGGACGACATTTACCCATTGCTGATGCCCAGGGCCGGCCCTTTAAGTGGGCCATCAAGTGGGTAGGAGGGGCTCCAGATTATGCGGTACTGTGATTGGCTGCACAGTGTTGTCATCATCAGAAGCCTATCCTACTGGCTTTCAATGTTCTGTAGCTGACCATGAGCTGTTGATGACAGCTCAGTCACAGTTCTGAAGTTGTTGATGGAGCAAGTCCCAGAATAATACAACAAAGCATATATGCGGCGACTGGGCGTTAGCTCCACCTGCCCTGTCTCCACATATTTATACATTGTTGTCATAAAGTGGATAATGTAGATGGCACACTCTTTTAGGGTGGGAAAGCATTTGTACCCCTGTCAAGTCTGAATTGCTGCCTACATCTCTACTAAGGAGATGTATCCTATTTGTCCTGGCAACCACTGTCAACAAGAAAGGAAGTGAACAGTTTAGTGAGTTAACATGGGGTGGTGTGTGTTGTGCTGCGTAAAAATGCATGCACACCACCATCCATGTATGGTGTGAATATATCACATAAGGAACAATGATCTTCTAAGTGCCCCCTGCAATGAGCTTGTGTTGATCTACATTTTAACCACTAGCCTACAGGGCACTTATACCCCCTTCCTGCCCAGGCCAATTTCCAGCTTTCAGCGCTGTCACACTTTGAATGACAATTGCGCAGTCATGCAACACTGTACCCATATGAAATTTGTATCATTTTTTTGTGGCAGATAGAGCTTTATTTTGGTGGTATTTAATCACCTCGGGGTTTTTTATTTTTTCTTAAACAAACCAAAAACCACTGAAAATTTAAAAAAAAAAATGTTTTTCTTAGTTTTTGTTATAAAAGTTTGTAAATAAGTGATTTTTCTCATTCACTGATGTGCACTAATGAGGCTGCAGTGATGGGCACTGATAGGCTGCACTGATGGACACTGATAGGTGGCACTGATGGGCACTGATGAGGAGGCACTGGTAGGTGGCACTGATGGGCAATGACAGGCATCACTGATGGGCACTGAAAGGCAGCACTGATACATGGCACTGATATATGGCACTGTTAGGCAGCACTGACTGGCACTGATAGGCGGCACTGACTGGCACTGTTAGGCGGCACTGACTGGCACTGATAGGCGGCACTGACTGGCACTGATAGGTGGCACTGATTGGCATTGATAGGTGGCACTGACTGGCACTGATGGATGACACTGAAAGGCAGCTCAGATGGGCACTGATATGTGGCATTGATGTGCACTGGTATGCACTGATATGTGGCATTGATGTGGCACTGATGGGCACTGAAATGTGGCATTGATGTGGCACTGATAGGCATTGACACGTGGCACTGATCGGCACTGACAGCTGGCACTGATGGACTTTGACAGGTAGCACTGCTGGGGCTACACTGATCATCAGGGCACACTGATCATCAGTGCCCTGATGATCAGTGTACATGTCCCCTCCGCGGAAAGCCGATTACCTGCTCTCCTCTTCCCTCGAGCTGTCAGCGTGACAGCTCGAGAGGAGAGAAATGCCAATAACCGGCATTTCCGTGTTTACATGTGATCAGCTGTGATTGGACACAGCTGATCACATGACCGAGCCGATATCTTTGGCTCTTTCCGTGATCGGTGATCCGCTGTGTCCGAGGGACACAGCGCACTGCCGATCGCCACGCTGCGCGCTCCCTGAGCCGCACGTGCGTGGTGAGAATGGGAGGACGTCATATGACGTCCTCTCAGATCAAGAGAACCACCTTGCGCCCCTCATTGGACTATATGGCGGGCGGGAGGTGGTTAATGTACCTATTTGGTTTTTAAGTGCCTTAAAAAAGTATTCATACCCTTTGACATGTTCCACATTTTGTCATGTTACAACCAAAAACGTAAATGTATTTTATTGGGATTTTATGTGATAAACCAACACAAAGTGGAACGGGAGTGGGCGGGAGGTGGTTAATGTACCTATTTGTTTTTTTAAGTGCCTTAAAAAAGTATTCATACCCTTTGACATGTTCCACATTTTGTCATGTTACAACCAAAAACGTAAATGTATTTTATTGGGATTTTATGTGATAAACCAACACAAAGTGGAACATAATTGTGAAGGGGAAGGAAAATGATAAATGGTTTTCAACATAAAGGTTTACAAATAAATATCTGAAAAGTGTGGTGTGCATTTGTATTCAGCCCCTTTTACTCGGATACCCCTAACTAAAATCTAGTGGAACCAATTGCCTTCAGAAGTCACCTAATTAGTAAATAGAGTCCACCTGTGTGTAATTTAATCTCAGTATAAATATAGCTGTTCTGTGAAGCCCGCAGAGGTTTGTTAGAGAACATTAGTGAACAAACAGCATCATGATGGCCAAGGAACACACCAGGCAGGTCAGGGATAAAGTTATGGAAAAGTGCAAAGCAGGGTTAGGTTATAATAAAATATCCCAAGCTTTGAACATCTCACAGTGCACTGTTCAATCCATCATCCAAAAATGAAAAGAGTACGGCACAACTGCAAACCTACCAAGACATGGTCGACCACCTAAACTGACTGGCCGCGCAAGGAGAGCATTAATCAGAGAAGGAGCCAAGAGGCCCATGGTAACTCTGGAGGAGCTGCTGAGATCCACAGCTCAGGTGGGAGAATCTGTCCACAGGATAACTATTAGTAGTGCACTCCACAAATCTGGCCTTTATGGAAGAGTGGCAAGAAGAAAGCCATTGTTGAAAGAAAGCCATAAGTCCTGTTTGTTTGCAGTTTGCGAGAAGCCATGTGGGGTCACAGCAAACATGTGGAAGAAGGTGCTCTGGTCAGATGGAACCAAACTTGAACTTTTTGGCCTAAAATCAAAACTCTATGTGTGGCAGACAACTAACACTGCACATCACCCTGAACACACCATCCCCACCGTGAAACATGATGGTGCCAGCATCATGTTGTGGGGATGCTTTTCTTCAGCAAGGACAGGGAAAGTGGTCAGAGTTGATGGAAAGATGGATGAAGCCAAACACAGGGCAATCTTAGAAGAAAACCTGTTAGAGTCTGCAAAAGACTTGAGACTGGGGCAGAGGTTCACCTTCCAGCAGAACAACGACCCTAAACATACAGCTAGAGCTAAAATGGAATGGTTTCAGCCAAAGCATATTCATGTGTTAGAATGGCCCAGTCAAAGTCCAGACCTAAATCCAATTGAGAATCTGTGGCAAAACTTGAAAATTGCTGTTCACAGACACTCTCCATTCAAACTGACAGAGCTTGAGCTATTTTGCAAAGAAGAATGGGCAAAAATTTCACTCTCTAGATGTGCAAAGCTGGTAGAGACATCCCCAAAAAGACTTGCAGCTGTAATTGTAGCGAAAGGTGGTTCTACAAAGTATTGACCCACTTCACAATTATGTGCCACTTCGTGTTGGTCTAGCAAATAAAATCCCAATAAAATACATTTACTTTTTTGGTTGTAATATGACAAAATGTGGAAAATTTCAAGGGGTAAGAATACTTTTTCAAGGCGCTGTTTAAAAGCCCAACTCCAGAAATATAATGCCAAGGCTCCACCCACAGACTGAAGCTTCAGGGACGAGGAGGAAAGCCCCAGAGCCAGTTGGAGCTGGGAGTTAATTAAGTAGCACAGCCTCCACTGTATCCCCTAGACATAATGAATAAGGTAAGTATTTATCTCTGGCAAGGAGGACCCACTGCAAGCGTACATTTTTGTTCATGTTCCTGGAGATAGCTTTCAACCACTTGCCAACCAGTATTTTAATATTAACTGCTGGCCATCGGCTTTGTTGTTCCCCCATGAACAGGCTTTCAAGGGGCCTCATTGGATTTCCTGCTTACCTATCACATTTTCATAGGCCCTAAAATCCCTAAATTGCCAGAACAGTATAATCACCTGCCCAAGTGACCCCTTTTTGGAAAGTAGACACCCTAAGGTATTTGATAAGAGGCATGTTGAGTGTTTGGAAGATCTTATTTTTTTTGCCTCAAGTTTTTGGAACAAAGGTTTTTTTTTTTACACAAAGTTCTCAATTTACTGAACTATTTCTCACACAAGAGAATAGTACAATATATAGTAAGCGCTCTCAATACTTATAGCAGCTGAACATTAAAGGAAAACGCATAAAAAGTCCCAAAATTCATATGTAAACAAAATGCAGCGCTTTTAAAAGATCAAAGGAATAATGATAAAACACAGTCCAATAAAAAGGGTGCTCCTTGATTCCCAGTGCAAATGGTAGAAATACACACTAACCAGAAAGCGTATAAGTAATACGCATGTGAAAATATATCCTGAAGATCCCCCTCCTTTCTGGTCTGGTCAAGGAAATAGCTGGGAAAGATGGAGATCCTACGCCCTCATGTGGTGAAAGAATGGTCCAGCAGGTCAGAGAAGAATCAATCTAGATAAGCCTCCCCCTTCTCAGGAGCTGACACAGGGATCACTTAGGGCTGTAAGGGTTGAAGAAGCAGATTCAATATGACCCCCAATTAAGAGTGGTCAACAAGCACTTGTGCATCAATCCAAGATATCCAGCTTTCCTCAAAACCACATGTCAAACGATGATACTGCTGCATTATATCAGATCGATGTGTATGCACATCAATCTGATATAATGCAGCAGTATCATCGTTTGACATGTGGTTTTGAGGAAAGCTGGATATCTTGGATTGATGCACAAGTGCTTGTTGACCACTCTTAATTGGGGGTCATATGATTCTGCTTCTTCAACCCTTACAGCCCTAAGTGATCCCTGTGTCAGCTCCTGAGAAGGGGGAGGCTTATCTAGATTGATTCTTCTCTGACCTGCTGGACCATTCTTTCACCACATGAGGGCGTAGGATCTCCATCTTTCCCAGCTATTTCCTTGACCAGACCAGAAAGGAGAGGGGGATCTTCAGGATATATGTTCACATGCGTATTACTTATACGCTTTCTGGTTAGTGTGTATTTCTACCATTTGCACTGGGAATCAAGGAGCACCCTTTTTATTGGACTGTGTTTTATCATTATTCCTTTGATCTTTTAAAAGCGCTGCATTTTGTTTACATATTTCTCACACACATCATGGGTATATGTGGCATCACACCCCAAAACACATTCTGTTACTTTTTCAGAAAGGGGGGATACCACATGTGTTAGACTTTCTGGGAGCCTAGCTGCGTACGGGGGCCCAAAATCCAATAAGCACCTTCAGGCTTTCAAAGGGTGTATCTTACTCATTTGATTTTCTGACTACCTATCACAGTTTCAGAGGCACTAAAATGCCAGGAAAATACAAATATCACCCCAAAATAACCCATTTTTGGAAAGTGGACACTCCAAGGTATTTGACAAGTGGCATGGTGAGTATTTTGCAGATCTCATTTTTTGCTACAAGGTTTTGCAAAATGAAAAAAGAAAATAACAAAATGCATTTTCATTTTCTTTCTTCAAATAAAAGAAACCCAGTAAAATTCCACCAAAAGTTATATAAATTTAATTTAGTTACAGTGTTGCATGACTGAGCAATTGCCAGTTAAGGTAGGGCAGTGCTGAATAGCAAAAAAAATGCCCTGGTCATGAAGAGTGTAAAACCTTTCAGAGGTAAAGTGAAACTTCACTCTCTCAATCGACATTGACTATATTTAATGCTTATGCTGGTAGCATTGGTAATAGGTGAGAAGGTATATTATATTTACTCATTTTAAACTTTTTTTTTACATTTCTTCAGTTACTTCCTAGGCAAATTATATCATACATCCCAGTAGTCTTTAGGAGGGGAGGAGGGGTTTTCTCAACTAAGCACACACTCCTGCCTGAGCTAAGGACAGATGGATTCCAGGCAGTGCTACATGAATCATCTGCCCTTACTCAAGAAGACTAGTATGGCGGCTATAAGGAACACTGTGGCTGGCCCACACTGGTCTGGTAAAAATGGGACTGCTGTGGCAGTGATCAGAAACACTGTTACTGGCTTACACAGGTCTAGTGACACTGTACAAGTGCGGCAGTGATCAGTAATACTGTTACTGACTTACACTGCTCTGATGACACTGGGCTTGGTGTGGCAGTGATCAGGAACACTATTTCTGGCTGCACTGGTCTGGGGACACTGTGACTAGTGTGGTGATGGTCAGGGACACTGTTTCAGGCTACATTGGTCTGGCAACATTGTGACTGGTGCTGCAGTGATTAGGGACACTGTAACTGGCTGCATTGGTGTGGTGACATTGTACCACTGTGGCTAGAGATCAGGGAATCTGGCTGCCTGCACTTGCATACAGTGTCATCAGAGCAGACAACCAGTGTCCCTGATCACTAACCACAGCTATACACTGTCACCACAGCACTGCTTTACTGTCAGCTTTTTTTTTCTATTTACACACCGAATGCTTCCTACAGTGCCAAATTGGAAACTCATGTGCAGTCTTTGATTACAAGTGTGATTGCTGTGATTGGTCACAGCAATCACATGGTACAGAAGGACACAGTGATCACAGAGCGAACACAAGCAGCGAGAACAGAGAGAAGCCACCCAATTAATTTAATACAGTAACTGGATAACATGTGGTTCACTTCCAAAGTGAGCAAAGTGAAGAAATCCTTGGTTGTCTGCAGGGTCACCAGAACTAGCGTCCCTACTGAAAGATTTTCTCTCCATTCCTGTTCTGGTGACAACCCAAAATTCAAGATTTTCTTTCATTTTCATGTTTGGCGATAACAGTTACCAGGACAAAATGTTTGCCTTTAGCAGTACTTTAAAGCTGGGTTCATGCTGTTGCACTGTGGTAACAGGCAGTTTTGTGTGTTGGTGTGCTGTGGTGCCATTCATTCTTAAAGTGGAGCTCCACCCAAAAGGGGAAATTCCACTTTAAAGACTGGTCCCCCGCTCCCCAATAAGGCTTGGCACCTTTGGGGAGCGGGTACCCAAAATTGACAGGTATCCACTCCCACTTCCGCTGCGATTGACTAGGACAGTAGTCTTCTAGGACACGTGACAGTCCCAGAAGACTACAGGACCGCTCTGAAAGTGCAGTGCTACGGGCTGTGACAGCTTGTGCCCACACTGAGGATGCCAGCGCTGGTTACACCAGATGTCCGGTGAAACGGGCTGCGGGAAGGACACCGTGGGACCGAGGGACAGGTGAGTGACTGTTTTTTAAAAGTCAGCAGCTACAGTTTTTGTAGCTGCTTTTATTTTTTTCACAGTGTGACTGGAACTCCACCTTAGCACCCTACCAATGTATTTGCATTGCAGCACACTACTTTCCATAGTAAGGAACTGCCACGCATTGAGGTGTGCTGCATTAGAAAAAATAGTGCATACTCGTTGTTTGATGTGTGTTGGTACACTGATGCCTGTTCACACCATTACGGATGTTATGCAATGTGGTGCCATTTTTTCTGAATTGCCAACTATCGTGCATTGCAGAGCTGCCAAAAATGCTGCATGCACCTTCTGTGGTGTTCTAGTGTGTGTGTTAGGCAGTCCATTCAAATAGACTGCCTTAGGACTGGTTTGCACCATAGAAACGCAGTCTGGATTTGTTCCATATGCGTTTCTGTATTTGACACATTTCGTTGAATTTTTGATGCGTTCCAGTTAATTTCCCCCCTCTTTTTCTCCAACCTTAATAAGGACATGTGCATTCCGGTGTGGTTTTTGAGTGTTTAGATGCGTTGAAGTGCAATTTTGGTGCGTTTTTTATGTGTTTTACTGTGTTCCAGTACAGTTCAGTGCAGAAAAAAATGCAGCATGTTCTACTTTTTTTTCTGGATCTGGACCGCACTGGAACTGACCACACTGGTGTGAACTATGCCATTGGAAACCATGTAAACTACTATCAACTAGTTTTTGATGCAGAAAAAAAAACGCACTGGACTGCATGTGGTGTGAACTAGTGTACGTTGCCTTTTTTTGCAGCACATCACAGTCCACATCTTGCATTACAGTTGTGTAGCACAGATGCGATTGAGTGCGTTACTGAAACACTCAATAATACAGTTATTTTGCCCAGCTAGGATTGTCACATTTTTAGTTCTACTGTAGAAGATTGGATGAAGAAACATCACTGAAGACTCCTCTAGGTATTCCATAGTGCAATCACTTCCCTTGAATGTGGCTGGAGGGAACTAAAAAAATTATGTCCTTTGTAGGTGATGGAATACTAATTAATTCATTAATAGGAGACAGGTTTAGCCTGTTCAGCTGGGTGATGTGTTTCCTATAGACTCAGCTTGGTTGTGCTCTCCCAGGAGAGGAAGGAGTGATTACTGCTGGCTGCTGGATCTCCTGGTAATTTGAATGTGTGTGATAGTGAAAGTTCTATGGCTGGAATATTGCAGATTTAGGGCTCATGTACACTGCAGCTGATAAACTGATGTTCAGGAGCTGTTCAGCGTTTTTTCAGCAGCCCCTGAACTCTCCCTAATGGTTTCCTATGTGTCAACGTACACATAGTCATTTACAGTTGCATTTTTTTTGAATGCACCAAACTTGCTTTCAGGAGTAGATTATACCGGTCTTTCAAACGCCAAACACTTGTAAGCATGGTTAACCACATTTATCAGCGTTTGCATTTAGAAGCGTTTTTTCATCATCAGAAATTCATGCAAAGCGTTTTCCATGTATTAAAATAGACCCGGTACACCAGCACAGTCAGTTCCAGGTTTCGCGTGAAGGAAAAAATGGTAGAACATGCTGCATTATGGTCATGATGGGATCGATAGTGAATACAACCAGAAAAGACAGGTCATCTCAACACATACTACTTTCTCTGCTTCTGCTCTCTATATGTCTCTCAAAATGGCTGAAATACATATTTACTATTTTTCAGTGCATTCTGAGCATTTGGGAAGGTCTCTTGAGGTTATCTTTTTAAAGATGCTTCTAAATGTAAACGCGGTATGCAAACGCAGCTAAACTGACGTTTTTAAACCAATGTTTTCCAGCAGTCAGTCTCCATCGTTCAGAAGAGTTTTCCAAATGCCCCGTGTACATGAGCCCTTATCACTACGTCCTCATGCACACTGGATGTTTTGGTGGTTTTTTTCTACAGCCAGTAAACTCCCCAGCATGTTCTTCCATGAGTCCATGCACACACAGGCTGTAATCAGCATTTATTTTGGCTGGAAAAACCCCCATAACTAGTGGGTTTCTAGAGGAGTCTTCTAGCTGTAAAAACACTCTAATGTGGCAAACCAGCATTTTTGGATGATTTTTTGTATAAAAAACTTCAGCTAAACGCTAATGCAAAAATGCTGAAAAACTCACGTTTTCAACTTGATTTTACACAGCTAACGCTACCGGTGTCATTAAAACTAAGCAATGAGCTGAACAATCTATAACGTAGTATGAATGACATGAGTTCATTGGGGTACTGAAACATAGTTGCATTTGCTGTTTGTAGATTTTGATTAGAGACAATTTTCATGTTTCCTTTTAACAAATAATAATAATGAAAATAACATTTTGTATAAAAAAAACAAAACAGTATTTATTTGAATAAACATCATTAGGAATTATGGCACTCTGATCCTCTAGCACAATACACTCCAATAAAAGCCAAAACAGGAACCCAGCAGCAAACTCTCCCTTGAAATAATCTGACAATGTTGGCATTTGTAAAGCGTTTGCCTTAGGCTCCGTTCACACCAGTGCGATTTCAGATGTCACTTTGAGTCACACACAGTCAAATGACAATAGAAATCACATTGTTTTCATGCGTGCTCTTTCATGTTAAAGCAGCTCCGCACCGTGCGACTTTTTTGGAAAAGGTTAATAAATAATGTGAAACTTTCAGTTAAAAATCTCTGCACAACACTTCAAAACAATCCAACACCACTATCCCAATATATTAAACCAGATTGAATCGTACCTGTGCAGTTTAGGTGTGAACTGGTCCTTAATGCTGTACTACCCTAGGTTCACACCTAAGCGTTTTCCACAGCATTTTGCAGAAGTGCACTACAGTCCATGTAACATGATTTCCTATGGGACAGGTTCACATCTCTGCGTTTTCACCCGATGCATTTTTTTTTGGAAAGGGTCAGGGACTTTTTTGAATGCTAAAAGTTGCAATGGAAATGCTGCAAAAAAGCATGTAGTGCGTTTTTGCTGTGTTTTTGATGCGTTTTGCATTTTAAATCTGCCTAGCAACACATTAAAAAAAAAAAAAATAAATAAAAATGCACTGCAGAAATGGATCAAATGCAAACTGCATAGGTGTGAACCTAGCCTTAGCCTGGGTTCACACTGATGTGGTGCAGAATTTGCAGTGGTATCTGTACAAATTCCGCATCACAATCGCACTCCTTTCATGAGAACTGCTGCGGGTGAGTATGTTAACACCACCCCAAAATTGGTCTGCAAAACGTGGTGTGATGTGCAGAATCGGATCGCATGGCTGTGAATACCCATGCGATCCGATTCTAGTGCGGACCAAAAAAAGGCTCCTGCACCTTTTTGATGCGGTGAAATTTGAGCGGTGCAGTTCCTGTGCGAATCTCATGTGATCTGCTGCCCTGCACAAGTGTGAACCCAGGCTGAGGCTTGATTCACACCTGTGGTTTTTGCTATTGATTTTTTTCCCTTTTCGTCTTTCAGGACAGCACCTTGAGAGACCTCGGCTCCTTCCCACCTGAGGAAACACCTCCACCCTAAATAAAAAGTCTATGCTCCCCTCCGACCTCAGTTCTGGTGTTTCCTCTAGTGGAGAGACATCTTGAGGAAGCTCTCAAGGTGCTGTCAGGGGACAGTGTGCCTAAAGCCTGGAGTGAGTCCAGGGCCGGAGAAACGGCTGTGGGGACTCGATGCAGCGGGGATTGAAGGCTGGAGTGCTGGCTGCGATACTCCCCTGGTGGGCTGCAGGGCAGGAGTGTGATCCCTGGGTGACAGGGCAGGAACACTAACCTGCCGGTCGCCCCCGACCCCCTCCGGTGAGTTGCCGATGTCGGGGCGGCCTCGGTGGGATCCAGTGAGGATCGGGGAGGAGTTCCGCTCCTTCCCACGCTGGCGGTCAGTGGAGCTTGCCGGGCCAGATGTCGGGAGTCGGCAATTCTAGCGGAAGGGGCGGGGCTTCTCCCAGGGTTCGTGGCTTCCAATTCCGGGCCGCGGCCCTATACACCGGGGCCGGCGGAGAAGATGACGGTGCGTGGCAGAACGGAGCCTGGGGGATAAGCTTCCGCTGAAGGCGACCACCCTCCTGGAGAATGTCGGGCGCAGAGGCACCAGGTGAGGCCTGCACCAGCCAGACCCAGGTAAGGTGACTTAGAGGAGTCCTCCCCTACCTGTGGGCCCCTAGCTCCTGGGGTATTCCCGGACCTTCTGGTGGTCAGAGGGTTTTGGTCGGGGGGGGACCTGTCAGGAGGTGTTAGGCCCTGCCAGGGAAGAGAGGGGGGGGGGTAGAACAAGTGCCCTGTGGGTGATAGGCTCTTTTTGCATCCTTTTGTCTTTCAGGGCAAGGCCCGAGAAAAACTTAAGCATCAGGAACCTAGGCGGAATGTCCGTCCTGTAAAACGGTTCTCAAGTAGTCATGGAAGAAGGTTCTCTTGGCCCTGTATTGTGGGGTTAGTGAAAGAAGAGAGGCCAGAACAGGGTAACCTGGTCAGGCCGGTGAGGCAGCTGACCAGTACCTTTTGACTCGTTTAAAAACTTAATGGAAAGTTTAGCCATTCCCCAGGTGGCCCCGTGGCCCGTCAACTATTCGGAGCAGGGAGCTCCCCGAGACAGGGGAAGAGGAACCTTCCTTGGACTCTCAGTCAGAGGAGGAGTCGGCAGGGGAGGGCCCTTCAGAAGACCCCAGGGGTCCCTCCCAGTATAAGTTATCCTTGGAGGAAGTAGACGACCTCTTAGGGGCGATCTATGAGACACTGGACATTAAGGAAGAGGTTAAAACTCTATCCTTACATGATCAAATGTACCAGGGTATGGAGGAGCAGAAGCATAGTGTATTTCCAGTGTATAAGGTGTCGGTGGACACCATTAAAAAGGAATGGCAGGACCCTGAGAAGAAGCCCCTTATTTTTTTTTTTTTTTTTTTTTTTATTTTTTTTTTTTTTTTTTTTTTTTTTTTTTTTTTTTTTCTAAAGTGCTTAAGCGGAGGTTTCCTTTCAGTGAAGACCCGGGGGTCTTATGGAACAAAAACCCTAAGCTGGAAGCAGCTTTTTCCCAGACTGCCAGGAAAATGGATTTGGCATTCGAGGACATGAGGGTTTTGCTAGACCTATTGGACAGGAGAGCTGAATCCCTCCTTAAAAAGGCGTGGGATTCAACCCTGTCAAATTTGAAGCCCGTCATGGCCACAACTGTTGTAGCCAGGAACATGGAGTACTGGCTGACACAGCTACAAGCCTATATTGTGGCCAACTCCCCCAAAGATAAGATCCTGGCATCATTTGAGACATTACTGCAGGAAGTGGGGTACATCGCGGATGCACCCGCAGAATCGGTGAGATTGGGGGCTAGGTCAGCAGTTCTAACCAACTCAGCCGGAGGGCCCTGTGGCTTAAAACGTGGCAGGGAGACCTCACGTCTAAAATTAAATTGTGTGGCATCCCCTTCTCTGGTGATCTCTTGTTTGGACCAGGCTTAGAGTCTGTCTTGGACCGTACAGCGGACAGGAAAAAGTCCTTCCCCCTGAAGCGAAAGTTGCAGGATGTGGGGGCCAGGAGATTTCGTCCCCCAAAAAAGACAGAGCCTTAAGATGGAGGGACAGAGGAGGACTTGGTGGCAGAGAGGGAGGGGCAAAGGAGGGGCGATTTTTTTTTTTTTTTTTTTTTTTTTTTTTTTTTTTTTTTTTTTTTTTTTTTTCTTCCCGTCCTGAACAGCCCCAGAAGCCGCGATGACTCGGTATCCACCCCCCCATCCCCCCCCAGTGGGAGGAAGATTGGCAGCCTTCCTC